CACCTTGTGATCGACTTGACAAGGGATTGGATGGCACAAGGCCGACCTTTGCATCCCTCTGCCGAACCACAACCAGCTGAGAGTGCATATATAGTGCTGCCTGCTGAAGACGCGTCATGTGTTGAAGAAGGTGGAGGTCAAGGTTTGAGAGTGCACACCAACCACACGCCGTTTGCAGTTGAGATCATGAGCAATGAAGTTTTTGAGCAAGCATGTCGTGAACAGCAACCTCTTCCTTCTTTTTCGTCTTCAGAGCCCTCACTTCCTTTTGTTTTGACAAGCAGTGCAGTTGTGAGTCATGAAGAACATGATTGTGAATGTCATCATGAATCAGCTGTTTTGATGTCCGATGCTCATGGACTTCATCCTATGGCATCTTCAACTCAAGAGATGAGGGACATCATCCTTCAAGCTTTAGCTTCGGCACGGTCTTGGGCTGAGCACCATGTCGCGCGCCACCACGAGCGGCTATCCCAAGGCCGATGCGAAGGCCAAGAAGAAAAATGTGGCGCCGGCCAGCGAGAAGTTCGACTACTCTCGCACACAGCCGATGAACGCTCAAGATCCCCGAGCGGAAGGAGCACCATGCTGGGGGCATCATGTGGTGGCGGCTCCCGGCCCGGGATCGGTGACCGGATCCAACAACCGTGCAACCTGGGAGGGTTGCGAAGTATGCCGCCTGAGGCTGAGCTACACACCGGCCTATGGAGCTCACGGCTTGACGCGAGCTGCAGGTCCCCTCGCCAAGGACGTCGAGCGGCAGCTGGAGAAGGTTCCAGCCAACGAGCAGAAGAACAGCATCCACCTCAAGGACACGAAGATCGGCCTGGATGGAGCCGAAGAATCCCTGCTCCAAAAGCTCGACGAAGTACAGCAGAAGAAGAAGCAGTGGCAGGAGACTTCGAAAGGCACCATCGCCAGTCAAGGCGAATCCGGCAACTCCAAAGAAGGCATCCACTTCGACCTTGAGCTCTACGACACGGAAGACTCGGAAACCCGAGGATTCGGCCGAGCAGCGCGAAGCCTTGGCCCTACAAGAAGAGGACGCCCAGTCTTGGGCAGAAGTGGAGAGCCCGGACCGTCCATGAAGCGCCAGAGGACGAAGGCCGAGTTTTCACCCTCTACCTCAGCGGCTGCATTGGCTGCTGCGAGGATTTCACCTGGAATTCAGAATTTTGAGAACGCCAATGGCTATGAGGCGTGTGAGAAGGGGATGTGCGATGACAATGAAACCTCCAGTGGCTCTGAGAACCACGAGACCTCCAATGACCCAGATCGTGTCCACTACACCGCTGAAGACTATGAGGTCATTGAAGATTTGCACGACACCTACGAGTTTGAGGTGAAAGAGTTGATGGCTGCCATCGGACTTCACCCTGAACGGTCAGCTCCGACTGTGATTGAATTGTGTTGTGAGGAAGACAGCATCATCTCACAGACAGTCATCGCCAATGGAGGACAGGCCTATCGTTGTGGATTACACAATGGCTTCGACATCCTCACTGAGCAGGGAGTGCAAAAGGTGATCCACCTGATAGAAGATGTGCATCCTGATCTTCTGTGGGTTTCATTTCCTTGCGGCCCAACGTCTTCTATCCAGGAGCTGAACATGCTGACTGAAGAAGGGCGCAAGAAGATTCAAAAGAAAGTCCAAAGACCAAAGAAGTTGGTGACCAATGGCATCCGCATCATGGAGACCCAGATTGAAGCTGGAGGTGATGTGGTGCAGGAATGGCCTCTTGGAAATCGAGCGTGGCATTTTGCTTCAATCCGCCATTTCTGGAGGCGCCGAGAAATCGATGGCCAACTTCATGAAGCCCGAGTTGATGGATGCAGCTATGGTTTGAAGGTGGATGACGGCTACCTCAAGAAGCCTTGGTTGCTACGTGGCACCACACCTTTGATTTGGAATCTGGCAAAACGATGCCCTGGCAACCGCAAGCGCGTTCCCTGCGAAGGTGGTCAGAGAACAAGAATGTCAGCCTTCTATCCGAAAGCAATGGCCAAGAGAGTTTGGCACCTGGTTCGCATGATCTATGAAGAAGCGACTCGCTGGCGACCAGAAGCGCAAACTGCCTGGTACCTCGATGAGATTGACGAGAACCAGGTGATGGCACTACATCCTGCAGAAGGAGATCCCGCTTCACTTCGAGGGAGCACTGATGAAGAGTTGGTGCGCTGGGCTACCAACCTGCTGAAGCTCCATCAGAAGCTTGGTCACCCTTCAAGCCAAGCCTTTGTTCGCATGCTGCGAGATCGTGGTGCCACCAAGAAGATGCTCACCATCGCTGCCAATCTCCATTGCATGGATTGTGATGAAGCTCGGACGCAAAATCCAAAACAAACTTTCGTGACAGTGGAGACTGCTGAGAAACTGTGGGAGACCATCCAAGTGGACAATGCTGAGTTCACCTACGGCAGCAAAGTCTACCACTGGCAGCTCATTGTTGATGAAAGCAGTGGATATGCTGTTGCCTCACACCTGAGCACCCATGACTTGAAAGAATCTTGGAGCCCCTCGACTCAGGAAGTGCTGCAGAGCTTGATGAAATCTTGGGTGCAATACTTTGGCTACCCACGCCAAATCAAGATGGACAAAGAGGGAGCTCGTCGAGGCCGTGACCTAGAAGAATGGGGTGACAAGAATGGCGTTGAGCTCATGTTCGTTCCTGCTGAAGCTCACGGGCAGATCGGGAAAGTTGAAAGCATGATTGGCCGCCTGAAGTACATGCTCGACCGTCACCTCAGAGGTCAAGAAGATGATCCTGTTGCGGCTACATGGCATCTCATTGCAGCCCACAATGACCTCTACCGCAAGGGAGGCTACAGCCCATCACAATGGGTGTTTGGCAAGGAGATGACAGACTCCTATCGCCTTCATCAAGGGTCGATCTGATCTTCCTTTCTAGGCCTCCGTGAACTTCGATCGCAAGTTTCAAAAGCAACAAGAGCTGAGACAAACTGCAGAGAAGAAGTACAAAGAACTGGTGGACTTAGAAAGGTTGAGCAAGGCGACCAACATGAGGACTACTCCTCCTAGCCACTTTTACCCCGGCGACTTGGTCTTCTACAAGAGACATCAAGCGCCTCGAGAAGGGCGATCACACCAACTTCTGGATGTGCCAAGACGCCAGGTGGCTCGTTGGTATGGCCCTGGAATCCTTGGCTTGGAAACCAAAGTCACCTACAACGGGAGCATTCGTCAACCTCACCGCTTTGCCTGGGTGATTAGCCAAGGAAGATTGAAGAGAGTCCACATGGATCAACTACGCCACAGCTCTGTTACTAGGTAGTAGTAGCAGGTAGTAGTAGTAGTAGTAGTAGTAGTAGTAGTAGGTAGTAGTAGCAGGTAGTAGGTAGTAGGAAGTAGGTAGTAGGTAGTAGGTAGTAGTAGTAGTAGTAGTCGTCGTATTAGTAGGCGGTAGTAGTAGTAGCAGTAGTAGGTGGTAGGTGGTAGGTGGTAGTAGTAGGTGGTAGTAGTAGGTAGTAGTAGGTAGTAGGTAGTAGGTAGTAGGTAGTAGGTACTTGTAAGTAGTAGGTAGTAGGTAGTAGGTAGGTAGGTAGGTAGGTAGGTAGTTGGTAGTAGGTAGTAGGTAGTAGTAGTAGTAGTAATAGTAGTAGTGGTAGTAGTAGGTGGTGGTAGTAGTAGTAGTAGTGGTGGTAGTGGTAGGTAGTAGAAGGTAGTAGGTAGTAGTAGGTAGTAGGTAGTAGGTAGTAGGCAGTAGGCAGTAGGCAGTAGGCAGTAGGCAGTAGGTAGTAGTAGTAGTAGTAGTGGTAGTGGTAGTGGTAGTGGTAGTAAAAGTAGTAGGAAGTTGGACGTCGGAAGTAGGAAGTAGCAAGTGGGAAGTGGGAAGTAGGAAGTAGGAAGTAGGAAGTCGGTAGTAGGTAGTAGGTAGTAGGCAGTAGCAGTCGTCGTCGTCCTCCTCCTCCTCGTCGTCGTCGTAATAGTAGTAGTGGTAGTAGTAGTAGTAGTATTAGTAGTAGTAGTAGTAGTAGTTGGTAGTAGTAGTAGTAGCAGTGGTAGTGGTTGTGGTAGTGGTAGTGGTAGTAGTAGTAGTAGTAGTCGTAGTGGTAGTAGTAGTAGTAGCTGTAGTGGTAGTAGTAGTAGTAGTAGTAGTAGTGGTAGCTGTAGTAGTAGTAGTAGTAGTAGTAGGTAGTGGGTAGTAGGTAGTAGGTAGTAGGTAGTAAGAAGTAGGAAGTAGGAAGTAGGAAGTAGGAAGTAGGTCGTAGGTAGTAGGTAGTAGGTAGTGGCAGTAGTAGCAGTCGACGTCGTCGTCGTCGTCGTCGTCCGAGTAGTAGTAGTAGTAGCAGTAGTAGTAGAAGAAGTAGTAGTAGTAGTAGTAGGAATAGTAGTAGTAGTAGTAGTAGGTAGAAGTAGATATTATTGGTTGGTAGTAGTTCGTAGTAGTTAGTACTAGGTAGTAAGTAGTAGGTAGTAGGTAGGTAGGTAGGTAGGTAGGAGTACTAGTAGTAGTAGTAGTAGTAGTAGTAGTAGTAGTAGTAGTGGTAGTGGTCGTGGTAGTGGTAGTACTAGTAGTAGTAGTAGTAGTAGTAGTAGTAGTAGTAGTAGTAGTAGTCGGTAGCAGTAGTAGTAGGTGCAAGGACCGCACTGGTAGCCTAAGCTAGCGCCACAAAGATCACCTAGACCTCTTCAAACACGTAGTAGGTGCGATCGAACAAAAGGGTCAACGACGATCCGGTGATCGTCGACCAACGGCGGCAGCTCAAGCCACTCTTTCCACCTATGGCGGTGCGCGGTCGGTAGCGTTCAGACCTTTTCAGGTCTATGGCCGAAGGAATTCCTGTTTTGAGGCGGCGAGGTCATGAGAAGCTCAGCTTATGGACATGAATGCTCACTCAAACCGATCAAACCTAGCCAATCCCTCACCTGCTTAGACGTCGGAGTCTTGGATTCTTGCACACCCCAAGAGGGTTCATGGAAGTGTGCTGAGCTTCTTGCAAGCAGATCGACCCATAGGATCTCCAGCGCAGAGTACTTGTCCTTCATGCTGCAGACCCATTCTTTGCGGCATCAAACAATGCCTTGGCATCGATCACCAAAGCTCCTCGTGTCAGCCTTGCGGCTTCCTCCGGCTTGGTGATGTCCACCTCTTTGCCCAGCATCTCCTGCCACTGGACGCGCAGGAACATCAACTCCTGCTTTGCGCCCGCCAGCGCCTGTGTCTCCGCTGCGAGTGAAGATCGGCAGACCCTCCGCAGCTTGTTGGAAGACCAGCTCATGACATTCACTGGTCCTCGCACCCCATCATCCAGCATGGAGCGGTGCGCAAAACCAATGATGAAGCCACCAGTGCTTCCGAGGTCAGCACGGTTCGCCAATGCGGCGTCGCTCCAAGCCACTAGCACCAGGTCATCATCGCTCTCGGCGCACAGCTGGTGCACCGTCGCGCCAACTTCCTTTTGGCCATGTACTTCACGAACAAGGCGGTTCACCTCAGGGATGATGGATCTGTCGGCCTTGCTCAGCAGAGATTGGAGGTGTCCCAACTTTGCTGCATGTTGAGGTCCAGTTTGATAGACCCGCCATTGAACTGCGCCCAGAATGGTGCGACATTGGGTGCGCTCTTGAGCTGTCAGGTCCTTGTGCTTGCCGTCCTCCTTGATTTGGGAGAGCTCGCTGCAAAAACTGGCTTGGTCCAATCTCCAGCCACCATCAGGAAGTTGTTGCAGCTCCACTTCACAATGAGTGAGAGGAGGAACCTCCCACGGAGACCAGCGCATGGAGGCATGAAACTTTTCAATCACTTGGCTCCATCTCTTATCCTGCTCGTTGCCGACAATGAGGAAGTCGTCGACGTGGCTGCCAATCATGCCAAGGGTGCAAAGTTCGCCTTGGACCATGGCGCGAAATCGCCACAAGCAGGGTTCCGTCACCAATCTCTCCAGTCCCAGCTCCTGCAAAATCTTGTCGACGTGCAGATAAAATTCTCGAGGGGCGACTGTCAAGCCGTAGGCGGCACGCATAATCTGCACCACCTGACCTTGCTGAAGGTTCATTGCTTCTCGCAACTCTTCCACAGGGACTCCAAAGACGCCACGTGCCTGCTGGTTGGAGTCACCCTGTAAGAAAAGCGGCTTTGGCGTCCGCCTTGAGAAGCTGCCATCCTCGGTGAGTCAGAGTTGAAGCAACAGTTGCCTGCTTCTTCGGGACATAGTTGGTGACTTCGTGTTGATGAGGCCGACATCAGGGTCAGAAAAACCCAGGATCACGATTCTTGCCTTGGCCTTGACTTGGCCCTTGTCTGCGGCCTTGAACACTAAGACCCATCTCATGCGCATGATGCGCGAGGGATCCATTCCTTGATCTCGACCTGCTTTGCCTCCTTCATGGCCTTGCGCTGAGTGGCATTGAGTTTGCTCCAAGACACTTCCACCCCCTTGACCACCCGTTTTGCTATGAATTTGCTTGGATCTTTGACGATGGCTCGCCACTCTGCTTCTGTTGCCGGCTCAGGCAACATCACGCTGAAGACCAGGTTCTCGTCGTCCTCAGTAGTGAGATAGTTCACAGGCGACGAAGGTCCATGGGGAGATCTGCTTCTTGTCTGAGGAGGATCTGTTGAAGCAGCAGCTTGACTCTTCAGAAATTCCTCCCTCTGGACATGTTGAGGCCTCTCCAGTTGCTCATGTCGTTGACGGGCACGAAGGAAGGGCTCATGCTCAAAGAGTGGTCCTTGTACAGGTGGAGGAAATGGGAAGTAGTGAGGATCCGTTGCCAGGCGTTCACCATCGATCTCCTCCAAAGGTGGTAGATCTGATTGATCTTCTGCGTCTTCTTCTTCTGGTCTCGGCGGCTCCGAAGGAGAGTATTCATCCATAGGTATCGGAGGTCCTCCTTCATCTTCAAGATGCTCAGGCTCTGCATCTTCTTTCCCTTTTCTTTTCTGACCTCCTCTCGCTCGACTTCGAGAGCGCTGAGTGCGCCGAAGATGTGGTCGCCCTTGACGAAGACTTGGATCTTCCACCAAATCATCATAGGATCCATAGTTCAGGGCCTTAGACATGTCCTGAAACGTCCATGGGGTAGTAGGTAGTAGGTAGTAGGTAGTAGGTAGTAGTAGTAGTAGTAGTAGTAGTAAGTAGTAG